GCCCCTTGTACTGCATTAGTCACATGAGAGCTAATTTTTAGTTTAAGCCTAATCAGTCGCTATGAAATTATAGGTTATAACCATTAAACGGGCAGCAATCAATGTAATTAATGAAGTGGTTTCATCAGGTCATACGTAAGAGATCAGATGCTGTATGTGAGACCCATCAACCCACGTATTTACTAAAGGCTATGAGTCTAAACAACTTTCTAATACGTGTGTAATTGTTTATTAGATTTCCAGGTTTATAATCGTAAAGTCAACATGAATGCTGTTTGCCCATACGTCTTTGTGAGCTAAACCAGGACGTGTGTGTAATGTTGTTGATTTCCTCACTTGTAAATACAAGTACTCACACGTATGATCGCACTAATGTACAAACACACATACACACACACACGAACACATACGTACAAGCACACGTATTCGTGCACTCAAAAACATCAATTGCACGCTGCTAAAGGATTTCAGGTATAAACATTCTTGAAAACAGCTCAGCACTAGTAAATGTGCTAACATTTTGAGGCATCTTACATTTTCATGCGTAAACATGGTACTGATATGTTTAGATTTTGGCTTGTGTGTTATGTTGGGTTAGTTACAATAACTTGTATTTCCTAACCGATAACATCAAATGTTTATAAATTTACAAGCATTTATTCAACACGTTTTTTTTCCAAGCATAAACTATTTGTTGTAGGATATGGCACGCATAAACAAAAGACTGATGAAAAATAAACGAAAATACTTATATAACGATACCAACCTATTTATTAATAACCCTTCATGTGTAGAAAAAAATATTCTAACAACAGGAATTGTATACTTTCAATAATTTTACACCATAAAACGAAATAATATCAAGACTTTGCTACAATCATCCTTCGATATGGTATGTTCAGTCTTATGAAATGAGGTTGGCTACATGTCATCTATTGTGTGGTGAAGTGAGGCACATGTCATAAAATGTCTGCTATAGTATAGTATATGTCATCTATTGTCAGGCGAAGTAAAGTACATGTCATTAAGTGACTGCTGAAGTTATGTACATGTCATCTAAGGTCTAGTGAATTGAATTATATGTCAATCATTCTGGAGTAAAGTGAGGTACATGCCAGCTATGGTCTCTTGAAATGAAGTACATGAGAGAAATTAAGTTTAACTACAAACAAAACAGTAGGTGTACGTTTTAAATTATATAATATGTTTAACGAAATATGCCCAACACATTTTGCGTTAAAAGCTGCAAGACTTGAATTGATAAAAATAAATTAAAAAATGTTTTCAAAGGAACGTATCGAGTTATTTCAGACGCCTTAGATTATTGTATTTGCTACGTCCCTTATTCATGTGTTGTGTTGATGTTTTCTTTGAACCCACTAGCATTATTTAAAACTATTAGTTTTGTACCGCTCTCGTTAAAATTCTGAACGCAACTAAATAAAAAAAACCCGAAACCTCCGTATTGTTTTAAACGACTGTAAATGAACGCATGAAAAACGCAGCAAAAACTCTACGGAAGTGGCAGTCACAAATACTAAACGAAATAAATGTTTAACTATTAAGTAGCAGAAGTTCTACTATGTGTAGTGAATTTTAATAAAGTTTTATCATGTTTAGAGATAAAGTGTAGCAATAAAAGTAAAAGTACTAAGTGCATTAAAGTGATCAAAATTTTTGTCTGAAAGTCAAAATAGTAAATGTATCCCTTAAGTAAGCTCAAGTCGGCTTGTATCCAATAAAAATACTGTAAAACCAGTTAATTGCTTTACATTTGTTTTAATTAATGTTTTAATACTTTTTATACAACACGTGTTCTTGTTTTGCCATCAAATCCGTAAATGGGGATGGATTTGATGTACCCTGAGAAGAGAGGACGTTAATATTCAAAGAAAGAAATGGGTTTCAATCGACACGGAAAAAGAAAAGTTGGGCAGCCGAGGAGATCACGGAGAAAAACAGCAGAAGTTCTGCTTTTGCTGAGTTGTTCAATTCTTATTGTATCCTTGCTTTATTCTGTTACAAAGTTGTCTCTCAATTGTTTCTTTTCTAATATGTGATCTTTAGTCTTTTGTTTCATTATTTAAAGAGAAACTATAGCTTTCTCTATATTTTTCAGTCAAATCTGATAAACGTTTATAACTCACATGAAATCGATTTAGAATATTGTGTATTAAAAAAAACATTATATGTAAATGTGACGTACCTGTGTGACAGAATGACTTAAATTACTTTGTGGTGGAGTTCTACTCTACATGTAAGTAATAGATAGACTAAATAAATGTTCATTTTAAAGTAGCATCTGCCTGTAAGTAACAAATAGGCTAAATACATGTTCATTTTAAAGTAACATCTGCCTGTAAGTAATAGTAATAGATAGGCTAAATACATGTTCATTTTAAAGTAACATCAGCCTGTAAGTAATAGATAGACTAAATAAATGTTCATTTTAAAGTAACATCTGCATGTGACTTATAAAGTCGCACCTTAAAGTTATTCTAAACGCATGTGACTCCAAATGGGATACCGATACTTAAATACATATGACTACAAAAGTGATGACCTATACACATATTTAAACTACCACAACTTAAAATCTCGTGAAGGACAGTTTCTGCACTCATCTCGCTCTTTTTTTTATCCACCCCCACCCCCACGTTATTCTAGGTTTCAAACATTAAGAATAAGTGTATTGAACATATCAATGTTCAATTTTCTTTTAAATTTTGTTTACATTAAGCTATATTGATCTGGTAATTCGGCAAATTAATTTATAGTTAAATCATTAAGGTTAAGCAGAAATCTCATACTGACAGGGCATAAAACCAAACGACCAAATAATAAATTTAAAATAAAATTTATATTACTTTAAATTCTTATGCTGTTTACCAAGTTATAGTCTAAAGGTTGAAATGGTTTAATTTCCCTAACATTTGACATGTACTTAACTCGTTTTGGGAAACAGTAAAGTATTTTTGCTAAAATGTGTCATCAGACTGTTGTACATGAAATAAAAATGAATGCAGGAAAAACCCGTGTTATATTTTTAGTAAACATGAAATAAGATTGATGTAGTAGAGGAAACCAGTGGCTGTAATATTATTTTAATGTATGTATGACCTAACTGGCACATTACTTCACTGCATAGCTTTCCAATTTATCTGCACAAATGACAAGTAGCGCTTACATATAAATATGTATTTGACTACGTTGCAATTATGTTACACATTTATCCATTTATCTTACCTGTAACGTGTAAACATTCAAGTTCATCTGTAACCGACTTTAACCGACTGTTCAATGCATCAAACTGTTCGAGCAAAATCTGAAAAGTGTCTCGGGTCAGTGGTACCGAGACATCTGATTAAAAAATATGGATAGCTATAACAAGTGTTTAAAATAATCTATATAATGCTCCTGCACTAACACAGCACACTTTTTATGCCTAAACTATTAAATTATAAGTTGATTTATTAAAAAACTTACAATAGTAACGATGTAAAAATATATTGACAATATTGGGGAAGTTAGAGAACAATAGAAGTGCTATCGTGTAAAGTAGCACAAAAAATTATGAAATTACCTGAAATTATTTCAGGTAATTTCATAATTACTACTCAAGCAGTGCATTGGTTAATGCTGATAACAGTGCAATCCCTTTTTAAAAAATCTATGTTCGCTTATCATTTCTTACGGCGAACAATGTGCGGCAATGTTTTTAATTAAAAAAAAAAACATTTAGAAAAAATTCTTGCTGACAGGGGCGTAGCGAGGGGGGGGAGGGGGGGTGCGGACCGCACCGGGTGACACCATTTAGGGGGGTGACACCAAGGCAAAAAATAGCAAAATATATAGAGAAAAACTTGAGGGGGGGGGTGCAAATCGAAAGTTTGAGGGGGGTGCAAATCGAAAGTTTGAAATTTTGTCACCGGGAAGGGTCGCAACGCCTCTGGGGGGGGGGGGGGGGGTGACACCATTAACTGCCGCACCGAGTGACACCCGACCTCGCTACGCCACTGCTTGCTGAAAAATAGTTTTAATATTTATACAGACGGTAAGTGATACCTGTTACTGCAGTAAAGTATGTATTTTGTGTGCAAGCCAACGTTAAGCTTACCAATAGTTCCTTTACTTGTTGTTCGTTTAATGGCTGTACATATTGTATTTGTTTTTTTCCAGATTTCTGTGGACTGTTGCTAGTGAAACTGAAACTGCCTAACGGGAAATCCCGATATTATCTGTGTTAACACGTATGAAATTCTGTCTAGAAATCAACAGGAAATTGTTTTATTTACTGCTTGAAAATTAACTTTTAACAAAATTTATATATATATATTTTTTAATTGTAAGTATTGTTTCAAATATAATTTGTGTTATATGGATATTTGAGTCGTAGTTTATTTAATTCACACAAAAAAAAACAATACTGCTTTGAATCTAAATGCAGATCTCTTACTCACCAAAAACATAAGACACTACATACATAATAACAGTAGAAACAATTAAAATGACCATCACTCCGAAGGATCTGGTACTTCATTAGCACATTAAGTTTATCAACTCGATATGTATAATTTTATTTCGACACTCTCCTATTTTGGTGTGTTTAACTAAATATTTTATCAACTAGTGAAAAATTTAGAACTACCAGCAGGACGTTTTTATTTAGAATTCTAAAATATGTGTCAGTTGATCTACAGCGATATAATAAATTTACAAATGTAATATTTTTTACTAAAATGTGTACACGTAAAAGTCGTATAACTAAATCGGAGTATATTAAAAGAATTAATATATATATATATATATATATATATATATATATATATATATATATATATATATATATATATATATATATATATATATATACCTTAAATAATTTAACGTGCTAATTACTAGATATATGTATTCTAATTATTTGTCATTTTTATATATTTCACTTTCTGTCACTTGAAACCTTGGCTAAATCTTGCACTAATTTTTCTGTATCTCGACAGTGTATTAGTAAAAGTAAAATGCGCTCCAGAATTCAGCTCAGACATGTTACAGAAATCATGAAATTTTTGGAAGAACAGCTGCACTTGATAGATCCTCTCATATTGATTATGCAAAACGTAAGCGATGAATTTAAAAAAAATATTCTGTACTTACAACAAGCTATAGAATGGAATAACGTGTATTCCATTGCTAAAAATATGTATTTGCTCTATTTAATCAGGCAGTAGAAAAAAGCAAGATTTGGATAGAAGATAAAAATGACAACCCGTCTATCACCTACAGCGATCTATGCCAGGAACTTGATTCAGCGACAACGGCCATGTTGGGTGCAGCGTTACACATTATAAGTAAATGATTAGACAACAATAAGTTAAAAAATGGTAACAGCACTTATGTACTTAATCACTACAGTGGGAACAAGTAGAACTCATAATTTATTGTTTAACAATCTATCAGAGTCTAGGAGATTCTAAGTCATTTGCAGGCGTTATAATTTATTATATGAAATCAAATGTCTGCTGCAATCATCTGCTTACACAAGTAAATATGTATGCAATACAAAAACATTTCGTTAATAAGCAAGAAGTAAACCATTACTTAAAAGTGGAATACTAAAGTTTTAGATTATAATATTCATTTATAACAGGTGAAAATAAAGAGACTTTAGATGTCGATACAGCAACGCCATCTTTCTATCAGTCTACAACAAAAACTCAAAGATCAGAAAAACGTGACTGGACTGAATCAACAAATCAAGGCACTAAACAATTGGAACAAACAGACGGTAGAATCTATTTTTTAACGACGTTGAAAAAAAATCTTGAACATATTAGTGTATCTTTAATAATATTTCTTCAAAGAACACGAATTTAAGAATGAATACAATATAATTAATGTTTGGATAGACTTTATATTATTATGCAACAGAAATATTGAGTCGACTTAAGCAGATAGAGACATCCATATTGTCTCTACAAGACGTCAGTCGACTTGAGCAGATAGAGACAGCTATATCTTCTCTACAAGACGTCAGTCGACTTGAGCAGATAGAGACAGCCATATTTTCTCTACAAGACGTCAGTCGACTTGAGCAGATAGAGACAACCATATCTTCTCTACAAGACGTCAGTCGACTTGAGCAGATAGAGACAGCCATAACTTCTCTACAAGACGTCAGTCGACTTGAGCAGATAGAGACAGCCTTATGTTCTCTACAAGAAGTCAATAACAAGTCTACAGATGACATATCAGAAATAAAACAATGGAGAGACAACTTTGTATTTGAACAGAGTGACATGGGGGTAAACATTGAACAACTGACTAAAAAACAAAAGCAGAATTTTAAAAACCTTAGAAAACAAATGAGTGAACAAGATAACAAAGTAATGGAGCTGAATAAAGTAATTGAAAGTTTAAAAAAAACAGAAACCAAGTCAAACAAAACACAAGAGAAATTCTCCCTAGATATGAAAGAATATGAAAACAAATTCCACAAAATAAATAAAGATATGCAAGAGCACACAGATAAAACTCACAGTATCACACAAGAAATTAAAAGACTTTCTGATCAAATGGCTGCCTTACAAAAAGAGAGTTCTAAAAATATGCTGAATACATCAACTCAATTAGAAAAGGTAAAATTGATAATTATGTGTTTACACAATTTCACACATGCTGGCCAGATAACTTATTTCACATTTTATAACCTGGTTAAATCAAAACACAACTTAGTAGCTTTATCGCCAGTTATACTTTAATATTATTACTAGATTTAAAACACATGTTTATGTTAGTTTTATTGTGCAGTAAAAATAATCAAAATTTTAATGCATTAATTGAATCTTCTTCTCTTTAGCACAGTGTGATATACAAACTCCTACAACAGAGATTAATGCCCCTTGACAAAATGATTCAAATTTTTAACCAGAACTTGGAAACTAGGGAAGAAAGAAAAACGAGGGTAGGCCTATATGTATAGTGATTTTATTAAAAATTAAATTGCGACGTTGATAAATCCGGTGTTAAATATTAACACTCTGTTAATAAACCAGTTAACAAAATAAATTAAGCAATAAATTTATAATTTCAAAAAGAAACATACTTTAAATTATGTTTTATTCTTACAAGTTGCCATTCTAAAGTTAATGTTAGTGCAGCAATTGTATGTTCTAAGAAACTATGTGACTTCTTCATTCATTTTATAACATATACATTTTAGGTGGAAAATATTGAAGATGCCATTTCAAAATTGTCAAAAGATTTGAATCTAATAGGTACGTTTATAAAACAAATCATATAACCAGACTGACCATAACGTGATGTTCGTTAGCCAGACAGATCATAACGTGATTTTCGTTAGCCAGACATACCATAACGTGATGTTCGTTAGCCAGACAGACCATAACGTGATGTTCGTTAGCCAGACAGATCATAACGTGATGTTCGTTAGCCAGACATACCATAACGTGATGTTCGTTAGCCAGACAGACCATAACGTGATGTTCGTTAGCCAGACAGACCATAACGTGATAAAGAATGGAACATTTCACTCACCCATAGTGCCAGTCTCTAGACCCGTGGGTTTCCGTCAGGTGTTTGTTTCCTCACCTGGTACATTACACCACCTGGTATGTCGACCTACAGCAGTCTACCCTAGTACAGAAAGACATTTACAGAGCTGCAGTTTATTTTATGATAGTTGCATATTACGTGACGTGATACACTCTTACTAAACAAATATTTTCAATGTCTACTAAACTAACCTAGGGCAATACTAAACAAATATTTTCAAATTGTACTAAACGTTAAACTAACCTAGGGAAGTACTAAACTAATATTTTCAATTTGTACTAAACGTTAAACTAACATAGGGCGATACTAAACTAATATTTGAAATGTGTAGTCTAAGTTACAGTTATGTTAATTCAATGGATAATGATCATCCACAATATGAGTTTTGAAAATGTAAATGCACATTGTATGAATCAAATAGTCAGAGCATTTATAAAATTAAACATATAAATCATACATATGTTTTCAAATCAACAGAGTCACGTGTATGTAACAGATATGCTTGTCAGGTACAGCTTGCTCAACCCAAACCTGTCAGTGTTGGATTAATTATGTCAAACTTTGATGAAGTTCGTGAATATAACGGTCAACATTTTAATCAAACAACAGGAACATTTGTATCACCACATGATGGTTTATATCTTGTCTGTGTGACTCTAAATGAAAGTGAAGGTAAACAGATTATAGTTGGTGTTTGGGCTGGAGACGAGTGGTTTACGTCTATAGAAGTGAAATGTGCCAACACTAGCGCTGCTGGGTCAGTGGTTGTTGACATGAAGAAAGGTCAAGAACTTTACTTTCAAGTGTTTCTCGCAGATCAAGGCGCAACGTTATCCTGGCCTAGTAGTTGTACAATTGTTAGTTTATAAAAGTACAACACAAAACGTGGCGGCTAATAAATTCTCAAAACAATAAAATATATAACCAACATGTTAAACAGACGCTACGAACTTAGTATGTGTGTAGAATAACATGTATACACAAATTTTAATGGTTTATAATATGTTGTTTGTTTAGTCATCATTACAAAACTCCAGTGTGATCACCAATTACTATGTTCTACTCACTAAAATAAACATAGGCCTATGTTATAGCGCAAATAGAATAAGACTAGACTTGTAGAGACTAATAAAGACGGTGTGAACTTGACGGTAGACGATTTGGTTCGAGAGTATGTGCGCGTGTGTGACTAAACTTTTGTGGCGTGAGTGTGGCGTGAGCGTGACGCAACAATGTTACTTATGACGTAGGACACAGGAATTAAGACAGTTGTGGGTTAGCTATTGTAGAAAAAGGCGTGTTGTTTAATTTGGTAGTGTAGTTCAAGTTCATTCAGTATTAGTATTTAAGAATAAAGTAATTCTATTTTTTTTATCGAAGTTGTTCCTATCGTTAACTTAGTGTCGACGGAAATTAAGAGTGTTCCCGTCCTCATCACTTGGTTATAGTTGAAGTGTTAGTTATAAGAGTAGTCATCATATTGTTTCATATAGCATCTTATACATTTTCCGCCATCACAGAAAGGCTAAATAAATGTTCATTTTACAGTAACAACTACATGTAAGTAATATATATGCTAAAAAAGGTTCATTTTATAGTAACATCTACATGTAATAGATATGCTAAATAAAGGTTCATTTTGAAGCAACATCTACATGCAAGTAATTGATAGTCGAAATAAATGTTTATTTTTAAGTGGCATCTCAACATTGGTGAATAGTAAATTCATCATAGATTCACGTGACACTTAATAACAAACAGTGGCGTAGCTAGTGCAATGCGGTTTGAAAGGCCTTTCAAACCGCACTCCACTAGCTACGCCTATTCTCTTAGTCTTAACACGACGACGTCCCGCGTCTGGTGGGTGGGGAAGGAAAGCTCGGTGAGAGCCCACGGAAGTAGCGACCGATGTGTGGGGAACTCTCTCGGGGTTTGCCACACTGAGGCCTGCCTGGCTAATGGAAGTCAACCGGTTTCCGTATAAGGAAGGAAGGAAGTATTGAATACTGACAGTCAAAGTGTGGCACCAAAACAAAAAGTAGTGACTGGTAAAAAGCGTACCAACCTTCCAACTGGTGCTGCGTGGAAGGGGGTGGGTAGGGGGGCTGGATTATTTTTCCTTACGCCAATAAGTATAATTTAAGTGGGAGGGGGCACACAATTGATAGTTCGCCCGGGGCCGGCTTGGGTCGCTACGCCTCATATAGCAAATAACTGCAGATTCAATAGTCCCAGTTAAATTCTTAAACTGCAAGACAAAAACGTGACGTAAACGACGGTTTTTACTTTCAGCTCAAGCTTGCCTTTTACCGCCTCAACATATCACACATGCTTCAATTTCGCATTTTACCGCCTCCACATTGACCTATCATGTTTCCATTTCGCATCTTAACTTCACCCACGTTAGTCGCTGCGTAAAAAAATTAAAACGACGTGTTTGATATCTACAATAGTTTACTTACCTTTAGATATAATGTTGTTTTGATGATATAGATTGCTTATTGTGGCCAGTGCCGGCGAAGGGTTATTTAGCGCCCTAGGCAAAACTTGTTAAAAGCGCCCCCCCCCACCCGCAATTTTTTTCGTGCCCCCATATTATCAGTGGCGTAGCGACCCTTCCCGGTGCCCGGGGACAAACATTCGATTTGCACCCCTCACCCCTCAAACTTTCAATTTGTTTTTCCAACCTATTTTGGCGCCCTAGGCTACAGCCTAGTTTGCCTTATAGGTAGCGCCGGCACTGATTGTGGCTGATCTACACGTAGTTAAATCATAAATACATGAGAGATAACTCTCATAATGACATCGCGTTTCGGGAAAACCCGCTATTATATAACAGAGGAAGTTCTGCTACTGTACAAAATTCCAGTCGTTTGATTCCTTACAACAAGAGTAGATCTAGGACTACTTAAGGTACTGCTAATCTTTAATCTATATAATATATATTTTTAAAATAGCATTTCCCTTTAATATAACCACACAACCTAAAAATAATGAATTTAAAACAAAATGAAAAGCCCTGCTGCATCTTTAATTCTTACTCAGTTATTAAATTGTCTTTAGTATAAAGTTTGATATTAAAACATTTCCATAAAATAAGTATATCATATACTCATTGATTAGAAAAGTGTGTACGTCTTTTTATTTAAAAAAAAGGGAATTTTATTACTGTATTTAGGCAATTCACAAAAAAAATTGTTACATTAGTTCATCACAACGCTGGATAGATAATGAAAGTGAAAAACGGAAATACCCAAGTGTATAACTTTAGCAAGCAGGATATAGCAATAGTAATGCCAAAGAAAACTATCTCATTTTTATTTGTATTACATAATTAACTGTAACATTAGTTAACAGATCTAAATAATATATAACAATACTTATAGCAGTTTTCATTTAATTGTGGATTGCCAGTTATAGTTTAATAATTTAGGACAAAAACTTAGTCTTGGTAGATTTATAACTCATTTATTAGATTTTATTTCATTGTTATCATTAACTCTTTTTTACTTAATTAATTTCTGGATGAATTTTTTTTCTTAAACATTGAATTATTATATTGCTTTTGGTACACCAAAATTATACTTGACTCAATGGAGATTATAAATATATAAATGATTATAAAGATTAAATTTAATTTAAAATAATAACTAAAGTGCTAGTCTTACTTATAAGTACCTTCAGTAGCTAAGGGATTTAATTCTGGCGGATGAGCGCAGTGGATTAAGATTTAGTTATAAAAATACGTTATGCTAACAATAACTCCACTATCAGCTCTATTCAAGGATACTTTACGATATGGTCATCTACATATTGATGGACATTGATGACATATGCACAGGACTGACTATTCTATTGAATAAATGAGCAGTTATTACTTTGCTTTAATTATCGTGTGATGTTATTATTATTTTATTTGTAAAATTTTCAGTGGAATAGTAATATAATTAAGGTTTGTGTTGATGAAATCAAATAGGCTACATATTTCCGGGGGGGGGGGGGCGGACACTATTAAATGTATATATTTTCGATATTTAGGGGGGCGGTAGACTATCTTCAAGGGGGGGTTACCTTGAAGAAACACTTCTTCTTCTTCGTTCTTAATTTTTAGTGTTGGAAGGGGTCGAGCATATCTGCCAGAGGAAACATTGCTTTAGATTTGCTTAGTGATGATGACAGAGTTAACATTTTTTTTTTATTTAGTGTTATTAACATTTAGATGCCTTCAAGAATTCAGGTCAAGTTTGTTACAGAGCGCAAGAAATATTTGGAAGAACAGATACAAGTTCTGGAACCTGTTTTGGGAAATATGAAAAATGTAAATAAATACCAACTAAAAATATTCTTCGTAATACATAAAATGTAAAAATCATTTTATTTACGATAAAGTAAGTTTTTTGAATTGCATGTGTTAAAAAACACAGAACAACAACACGTGTTTAGAAATATAGCACTTCAACACGTGACCGCTTGAAAATATTGTTGTTGTTTGCTTTAACCAGGTCGTTACAAAAAGTAAGGCGTGGCTAGAAGAAAAAACTGACCAATCATCTGTCAGCTACATCGAGCTATCACAAGAACTGGACACAGCAGCCACGGCCTTGTTGGATGTGACGTCACACATTTTAAGTCAGCACTTAAATAGATTTTATAATTTAAAATCTCAAAGCCTGCTGTCATGTGTCATGTGTGTTCAGTAATGAAGTGTTTTTACTAAGAAGAATGCAACAAAATTATTTTACAGTTTAGTTTACAGACATTACAAATACTAAGTTAAAGGGATATAATTTTACTGTCTAACAAACCACTTTCCACTTTTCTATGAAATCGACGTCACATTAGTGAATATTGTAAATCATTATATGAACAAAAAAAAAGATTTTTACAATCACATCGTGTAACCTTATTCGCCCTAAAACAACGTTGAAGAGCCTTAAAGTTTTTTTTTTTTTTAAATTACTTTTCATTATAAAATCGATAATTATTCTTGTAAAAGTTAAATTTAAAACAATATATAGATTTTGACTATTTTGGAATTATTTGTATTTGTATACATTTGGATCATATTCAAAGTTGTTTTTGATCACAGTATTACGTGGTTTGCGTTATAGTTTAACAAGCTAAAATAGCGACATTTATTGTGTGTACTATAAAATCATTGTTTACTTCAACTGAACTTAAAAGTCTAAATCCCAATCCACCAGACGAGGACAACATGGATGTCAACAAACCAACGCCATCTTTACCACAGCCTGACACACTTACAACAGCAACATTTCTAACAGTAGAATCACCAAGACAACTCATCACACAAGTTCTACACGCAACTGGTATATTATAGTATGCATTGAATAGCACGTCAAATAACAGCATAACATACTGTAAACCAATGTTCGATTGATACATTTGTTTAATTTCATTTTTAACACTATATATTTCAAGATTTGAATCATTTTAAATTACAAAATTGCGACAATTTTCAGTTGAAGAACATCCTGACCTAGAGCGCAGACTCGCCTATATTGAAACAACACTATCTTCTCTACAAGACGTCAATGACAAGTCTACAGATGACATATCAGAAATAAAACAATCGAGAGACAACTTTGTAACAGAACAGAGTGACATGGGGGTAAACATTGAACAACTGACTAAAAAACAAAAGCAGAATTTTAAAAACTTTAGAAAACAAATGAATCAACAAGATAACAAAGTAAAGGAGTTGAACAAAGAAATTGAAAGTTTAAAAGAAAAAGAATCCAAGTCAAATAAATCACTAGAGAAACTGTCTCTAGATATGAAAGAATATGAAAACAACTTACTGAAAATAAATAAGGAGATGCAAGATCACACGGATAAAACAGACAGTATAACTGTTGAAATTAAAAGACATTCTGATTTGATTGTTTCCTTACAAGAAGATAATAAAAACATGGTCGATAAATCAACCAAACTTGAGAAGATGCAATCAAAGGTAAACTTTCAAATTACTAATTAAATGGGTAAACAATTATACACCTACTTACCGGTTTACCAACTC